CCCCCCCCCTGTCGAACAACCCAGTTGCTTGCAGACGACTTCTACGGCTGGCAGTCGGGCACCCGGCGTGCGGCGGCCACGGCGGGCGAGACCGGCAGGACGCTCTTGGGCGGCACCGGGGGCGGCGGGAGCGGAGGCGGGAGCGGTGCCGGAAGAACTTTCCCTGCGGTAGGGCAGCAAGCAGGCACGCGGGGTAGTGCTGATGCTCCAGGCCAGCAGCGAGCCAACGAAGGAGCAAGATGGTGTGGCGATGGTGGCGGTAGCAACGAAAATGCCAACAGCAGCAACATTCGCAATCCGGTCGTCGGGGGACTGCAACGTCTCCGCAACGTTCGGGGGCCTGGCGGCGACCGGGGGAGAGGAAGGAGGCGGCAGACGCCGGGGACGGCGGCGGCGGCGGTCGTAGGCGAGGATGCAGCCTCCGCGGCACCGGCATCGTCTGCCGCAACGATGCGACCACCGACAGCGGCGGCTTCTGCGGACGGAGCTCCCTGTCCGGGTGAAGAAGGTTTCCCGGTGGAGTCGGTGGTCTCCTCTACTACTGGTTTGTCGGGGGATGAGTTCAACTTCGAGGTCGGCGTCCAGGAGGAGGAGGCGGGGGGGAGGGAAGGGGAACGAAGGGATAGGCAACAGGGCCGGCGACGCGGATGGAGGGCGGGCAGGGACCGGGATGTCGGTGGTGGTGGTGGTGGTGGTTCGATAAACTGGTGGGGTTAATGGTGTTGTGGTTGTCATCGTGTCCTTGTGTTGGCTGTTCTGGGGGGGGGGCTCCGTGGGGGGGTTGGTTCTTGACATCTCGGGGTGATGCTCGTGTGTCATTCTCTCCAACACGCCCGCCCCCCCCCCCCCCCCCCCCCCCCCCCCCCCCCCCCCCCCCCCCCCCCCCCCCCCCCCCCCCCCCCCCCCCCCACTCTTGTCACGTGTATATGCACGTAAACACGCGAAGTTTGTAGCTGTTTGCTGTGCTGTTGAGCGTTGCTTTTGCATCGTCCATATGTCTTGTCGTGTCCGTGTGTTGTGCGCGGGTGTGTGGTTAGAGTCTGCGCGTTTTTCGGTGTTGGTCCTCGAAGCTGGTTTTCTGACGTCTGTTATTGTCGCGGTCTACACGAACGGGTGGTGTGCGACATAGCATGAAAAGGTGCCCATAGCCTTCCTCAGCAAAAAAAAAACAGCGATGGCCCGTAGCCGAACTTTGTGGAACTTTTCGTGTTGTTGGATTGAGTGATTGTAGTTGGTTAGTGCAGCGAAGGTGTGGTGGGAGGGGACTGTCGTCCGTCTACTTGCGAGATTGCATGCCTTTGGCAGACTCCCTGTCTCCGTGACATCGTAGAGGTAGGTTGGATTCAGAAATGAACGTGGGCCACAGCGTAGGTCTGGAACGTGTATCGCAGCACGCGGAGCTACACGCCCCATTTCGATCTCCATTTGTTGTCATAAAGACGTCTGATGTAGATATCCTGGTTTCTCTGACCACAGTCTCATGGATGATGCCGGTTCAAGTGAATGTTAATGGTGTGCTCTCACGCCGTCTAATCTGAGCAAGGAAACAGGATTCCATCCGTTTCGGTGTCCTATAATATGTGTTTGACGCACCAGCCGGGGTCACACAGGAGGAGTTGTAGGCTTCGCTCTCGATCGGTGCTACGCTTGTACCATTTTTAGAGCACGCAGGGTTCAGCAGCCCCTTTCCTATGTTTTGCACTACTTTGCGCTTTCCTCTAGATTGCGAATTGTTCTCTCCAGAGAGGTTCAAAACCGCAACCTAAAGAGCCAGAAGGCTACGAGGTAGAACACTGAACCACCGGGGCGACCAGGCTGGAGGTTTCATTGGACCCGCCATAGCATAGAGGCAGTGCATTTGCAAGTAGTAGACATTTCTCCTAGGGAAGCAGTTGGTCGATATCGTCGCTTTGGGTGTTGGCGTAAGACTACTCACTGGCCGCTGCGTTCTTGGTGAAGGAGCTTGCAGATGTTTCGGGCGCTGGGTTCACGCGCATCCACCGCTGCCAGCAGTGCTCCCACTGCATGTACAGGAAAGAAGGAAAAATCTGACTGTGTCCATCCAACGACTTGGCTTTCCTGTTGCTGGGAGTCGGATTTTGTGGCCGTGCTTACTGCCACAGAAAGTATTCCGCTCTGGTTTTGACGACAATCCCTTCCCCCCACCGGACCCTCAATTTTCTTGTCGCACAATGCACGTAGGGTAGGTGTGGTGCATCTTTCTGGAGATGACCCGCCGGTGTCGTGATAGACTTCTGAAATAACGCTTGTGAGGTGGGCAACGGGCATCTCGACGTTATAAACGCCGAAACATTGACAGCGAAACCCCGGGATGCTCAAGCCAGGTCCTCTGGCCTTACTCCGTGCGAACACAGCTACGTTGAAAAAGGCATGCGCGCGGTAAAAATGACATGTGCCTGGGACAAAAAGGGAGAACCACTTCTACCACGTTTCTCCACAAGTCGTGCCACCGCGTCTCGTTATTCCTGCGCATGCTGTCAACAGCGCTTGTGGCATGATGTGAGCGGTGAAAATACAGTCATGTACGTCACTGCCCCAAGATCCTCTTCCCAACCCCACCCTCCTCTGCAAACCGAGGTTAATTGTTAATTCAGCGAAGGACATCCCAACAAAAAATTACCAATGACAATAATTTTCACGTATCATTGTGTAGAGGAGGGAAACCGTACGCCCAAACAACATCGACAGTAATATAACAGTAGTTTATGACATCACGAACATCGTGGGATAACTGTGGGGCGGACACATTTGTTGCCCGATGTACCGCACACAAACGCCGAGCTGATGAGGTGCCTGCACCACGTAGACACAAGCGGGAATGCAAGATCTTGCCCCAAACCCCAATTTAGCTCGAACGCTCCTGGTCGTGCTCACGCCCCCTCGGGAGGGGTGAACAAAAACATGAAGCGGTTATCATTAATCACAGGGGAATGCCCGTTCAAAGCGGGCACGCATTGATCATTTGGGATTGTGGTGGTGGTGGTGGGGGGGTGTACTCATAGCCGTGCATGCCGTAGTCGTTACACCATTGACCTCGCATACCTACAAAGCCGGGACGGAGCACGCCGGGTTCTCACCGGACCAGGCCCTCACATCACCAAGCGCGAAGCGCCGTGAAGTATTCGGCGAGTCGCATGAAGGGTGCGCTGCATCCTGCTAAGGGTGTTCGGCATCTTGTGCTTACTTCCTTGCGTACGGATGACAGCTGCGTATGAATTAATTTATTTTCTGGTGCTTTCACTTCCAGAGACAGTTATAACCTCTGTGTAGCTGCCTCGAGGGTGCTTGACCATTTCAACACAACGTGGTGCGATCATCCCCCTTGCGCGGAGTGAGGGTTCTCCACCCCGCACAACATAATCTACTCGACCACCATTATGGCTACTGCCAAAAAAAGAGGTAAAAAAAAAACCGGTAAACTCGTTGCCGAGTTCACGAAGTGAATTGGCTTGTTTTACAACGTCGTTGCCAAGCGACGAAAACCCAATCCCGATGGCAAACACCGGGGGGGGCGGATTGTGGTGAGGGTGGGGGTAAATCAATCCACTTGAGGAGACCAACAGAAACAGGCACCGCCTTCACTCAACAACAAAAGTTGGCCGCGCTGAGCGAAGCGCCGGTTGCCGAATTATACGACCGAACGGGCGTTGTTCCCAGGTTGATGTTCCTTTCGAACTCCGCCGCCACCATACTATAACACCGATATCCTCAACAATGGCAGAAGAATCAACAACACCAACAGCGCCTGGGATAACCGCTGCTATTATTCGGCGACAACCTTTTCGGGGGGCGAACAATCAACACCGCTACCGCTACTGCTGGCATCGCTCGACCGATGCACTGAGCGACGAGCGTCAACTTATCACGCACGAAGGGCAGCCAAGATCCGAAGGTCGTCCGGCCCGCTGACGCTTCTGAAACCGACTAACTTCGATGTTTTCGGGAATAATCTGTGGTCCGAGCGAGAAGGAGGTGATAAAACGAGGCGACGTGTAAGCAGGGGGGGGGGGGGGGGGGG